ATATATATATATATGGAAAGATGCTAGAAGTAAAGAGAATAATTTATTAGAGACAGATGAAAGGGCTGCATTTGGCTTTGACTTTTACAATATTATATTAACATTAAACACTTTTAAATGACGCCGTAAAGATAGAATTATGTTCGTTTTAGTTAAATTAATCCACTAATTTATGTACAAATAAACTTCAAGCGAAAAAAGGAAAGTATTGTATATTATTAAGGCCATCAGATGTGTGTATTTATCGTTAGTGATTACAGTATACTTCAAATTTACGCCTAAAAGGTAAAAGTAAAAGGGTAAAGGTAGTCGAACCTTTATAGGTCCGTACTCATTCTCTCTTTCTTAAGCAATTGGACCAGACAGTCGGTCCTCTTATATACATGTAGTATTGAAACATTTTATTTTCAACAACTGACACTACTATACTAAAAATGTGACAACCCACCAACTTTTCAACCACCACCTTTTATTTATTAGTTGTATACCTGCCCATTCCGTTCATCTTCTGGTTCAAAACACTTGAACTTTTTGCACTTATAGTTAGAAAAAAAAAATACATGCCAAGGATTGATGTTGAAATGGAATTATGCAAATAGTCAAATTACTAAAAAATATGGGGTATTGGTTTTTAGCGTCACATAAAATGTAAATATAAAGATGCATTAAAAATATTTCCAATCAGTTCCAAAACAAGTGGCATTAGTACACATAAAACTCTGTACACATTTACTGTAACTGACACTAATTTGAATATTCATCATACAGCTATTGTATCTGCCAGTACAGGAGAGGACAAACATATTCTTTAAATGTCCATTCGGATCGGCACCACAATAATAGCAATCACAATTATTTTGATCGGATTTGAATATTAATTTAGTGTAATGACCTCGTCGTGGCGTCGGACGAGGGGTGGTGGGGGTGTCCAGATTTGTAAAGGGTAGGCGACCCAAAAAAATCAAGACCTCTAATGCAATGCAAAGATAACTACAGATTAAATAAATTGCAGTACTATACGCTGCAACCAGAACCCATCAATTTTTCCCAGCTTTTCAGTCCCCGTACGTCAATCGGAGGATGGCTTTGCTCTATGGAAGTGTTTCTATTATAAGACCAAATATAATAGATGTGAACACGGAAAAGTTTTGTTCTGATTTGAACAAATATAAAAAGAATAAAAATACACATATATACGGAAATGGTGTCCGAAACTTTATATGTATACATAAGCATTACCAGTGAAAGGCAACTATGTGTACCGCAAATAAACCAGGGTATTGTTACCTTTTGAGGACGTATCAATAACACATTGAAACCAAATTGAATAATAATTTATAGGCTCACATACGCCATTTTGACCACCATTTCCTTATACTTGTTCGAATCAGATTCAAAGTTTCCGGATTAACATCTAGGCATATAATTATATCTAGGATTATATTTATTTTCATTCCAGTGAAGCATCTTAATTTGAAACTAATATTTTTGAAAGAGAAGTTCTACGTCGAGATGATGAACATGTTTCAAACTATCTACGTGGCGTCCACTCATATGAACATAGTTTTAATCTCCGTGTACTTGCAGGCGATAAGGAGATTAAAGCAGCATAATGAACAAGCAAGATTTAGAGGAAAACTTCCTTTAACAGATCAAAAATCTTAATTTTAGGAGATCACAGTGTGGGAAAGACATCGACAAGTACACGCATGCAAGTAAAGCCCAGTGCAATGAGAATCGAAACAAATACTGTCAAAAGCAAAAGTTAGTGATGTTAACGGCACTTGGAGTGGAATATCAAATACGCCACTAGAAGACTTTAAAAGTTCGGCAGCATGGTGGGCAGTATCACATGCGAGCAAACACGGTGTAACTGAAATTAGGGACGTAGCCAGGATTTTGAAAGGGAGGGGAGCCATCATTTTTGATTTGTATTGACAACAATTCCACTAAAATAATACCAGATAATGGTAGATAAAATTATCTAACACAATTGGAAGTTAAAGTCAATAAATTAGGGACTTGCGGCAAGTATCATGTTGGATCTGTATTGACAACGATTCCACTAAAAGAATACCAGATAATGGAAATTATTAGTAAAAGAATGTTTATTAACGTCATCTTACATAGTTACATTTAGGCCTATACATATTTTACAATATGAATGAATGTACAGTAATGTTCAGTACATAAAAAATGGATGGCAAGATCATATGACAACTGGTGATAAAACAAAACAAAACATTATATGTTACAGTTCATTGTTCCCGTATCTATTGTGAACAAATTTAAAGACGTTAGTGAGTGCTCAGTAAAAAAACCCAACTTATTAGGGTTAAAATATAAATTAAAACAATTATGTATCATTGCCTGAAAATTGTTCAAATCTGTTAAAATGTTACTAATAATTACTTGTTACACAGCAACAATTACATTCAAATTTGAAGCCTGAGAGTACCATTTCCGGCTTTCTA